AATTTTAAGTACCTCTTAAACTCTCTAGCAGAGTGATTATGGTGAGAAGGAAAGAACATTAACTGATAATTAGGAAATTTATATTCTAAATTTGGCTCTTCTATACGTGTGATTTGGAACAAGTCCTTTCTTCTCTCTGGGCTCGTAAAATTAGAGGGGTTGAATTTGATGATCTCAAAGGTCCCTCTGGCTCCCAACTATAAGATTCATGCAGCCCGAGTGTCTGACTCCCTGAAATTCCTGAAGCCCATTAATGCGTCTGTCTGTACCACTGAGCTGAGGGTGGTTGGTGAGCTGGCGTTTCTATGTTTTGTCTTGATCTCACAGATCCTGGTGGAAGCCTGAGCACTCATGCTGTGCTTTTCCCAGATAGGTTGACAGTCACAGTTGGCCAGATTTCTGGAGTTTATGACTGACGTGATTGCACCACAAACTGACAACCTGCAGCCTTCTGTCACATTAGTAAGGGGATTTGAAATGGGGGGGGACTCTCATAAAATGTTTTTATCCTGTGACTCCCTTCCTCTTTGTAGAGGTGCCCTCATCTCTTCACCTCACACAGAGTCCTGCATGGGCTGCACCCACTCAATCTAGTCAATGCTCAGCTCTGAGTGCTGAGCACTGACTCTTGCCACCAGAGGGCACTCTTGAAATGTGGAGAACAACAGCTCTCTGGGGGAAGCTGAGTCTCATGTTTGCCAAAACATCTGGATTTGCTGAAGCCATTTCTCTACTTAAATGGTTCTTAACTGTGGACAATTTCCCCCATCCCCAGGGGGCATTTAACAATATCTGGCGACATTCTGGGTTGTCACAACTGGGTGGGGGAGGGTGCTATTGGTGTCTACTGGGTAGAGGCCCTAGATACTGTCAAACACTCAGGATTGCACAGGACAGCTCTCCACAATAATGAATTATGAAGCCAAAAATGACAATGGTGCCAAGGTGGAGAAAGTCTGTTCTACTCAAACCTATTTCCTAAAGTAAAGAGAGTACTGCCTTCATGGAAATCCTCTGAACCTGTGCTTTTTGTGTCCTGGGTTAAGCTGTCCTGAAGAGAAATCTCAGAGCAGAGACTTCACAGTGTTTCTCTTTACTTGAAATATGGGGTTCATAGCCACCACAAACCACTAAAGAGAAGGTAGGGTCAGTCTGAGGACCCATGAGGGTCCTCATTATGGAGAAAGCCCTGTCCCTGGGGCTGGCTTCTCTGAACAGGATCTGAGTCCCATAACAGCATTGTCTACTTCCTTGTGTTAGAGCACAACAATCTTTGTATGTCTAAACTGATCAGGGTGATGGGAAAACCCCTGAAGTTGGGACTTCCTGCAGTTCTGGGGTTGGGCCTGTGGCTTTGGGGGCAAGTGGGAAGCAGTTCTCCCTGTGGCCCAGGGAATTTCTGGGAAAGAGAATCTGGGGACCCCTTTTTAGCATCTGGGCTGAGGAAGGGAGACTGACTCTTTTTCTCCTGGCCTAGGTCCGGCTTGGAAATGAGGGGTTGGGTTCTTTGCCCATCTCGACTTTTGTGTAAGTGAGGGCCTACTCCTGCCTACTCTGGGTCTCTCCTTCCCTACTCAGTTGACTGGCAATGCATCAGCCACAAGGAACGAGTGGCTGCAGAAAGCAAATATGAGGAGAGCATCAGAGAGGAGATTGGAGGGACAGGTGACAAACAACGAGCAGAGGGACCCTCTGTCCTCTATAGTTCATGCTCCATGTCATAGAAAAGGATGGGAGACTAATACTAGGCATGCAATTGGCAGCCTAGGGATGAGAAAGCAGTGTGCTTTAGTGGCCTCGGCTAGTGTAGAATCCCTCTCCATTGGCATGTCTGTAATTGAGCAAAAGACTTAGACTCTCGCATGTTCCCCACACTCCTGGCAACCCCACCTTCAAGTCTGTTGTGCTTGTCATTTTTAGGACCTTGGGGGGCAGAGGAAGAAGGGACCCTTTCCAGCGATCTCTTTTTTCTTCCCAACCCTTAGAATTGTGCCCAGAGGTCCTCCCCAGGGATCTGAGGGTCATTCTGTAAAGACTCCTACTCTTAAACGGAAAAAGAATGTATGAAAATAATTCCATTTACAATAGCCTCAAACAAAATCAAATACCTAGGTGTAAACCTAACAAAAGATGTGAATGACCTCTACAAGGAAAACTATACACTTCTGAAGAAAGAGATTGAGGAAGACTATAGAAAGTGGAGAGATCTCCCATGCTCATGGATTGGTAGAATCAACCTAGTAAAAATGTCGATACTCCCCAAAGTAATCTACATGTTTAATGCAATTCCCATCAAAATTCCAATGACATTCATTAAAGAGATTGAAAAATCTACTGTGAAATTTATATGGAAACACAAGAGGCCACGAATAGCCAAGGCAATACTCAGTCAAAAGAACAATGCAGGAGGTATCACAATACCTGACTTCAAACTATATTACAAAGCAATAACAATAAAAACAGCATGGTACTGGCACAAAAACAGACATGAAGACCAGTGGAACAGAATAGAGGATCCAGATATGAAGCCACACAACTATGAGCAACTTATCTTTGACAAAGGAGCTAAAAATATACGATGGAGAAATAGCAGCCTCTTCAACAAAAACTGCTGGGAAAACTGGTTAGCAGTCTGCAAAAAACTGAAACTAGATCCATGTATATCACCCTATACCAAGATTAACTCAAAATGGATCAAGGATCTTAATATCAGACCCAAACTCTTAAGTTGATACAAGAAAGATAGGAAATACTCTGGAGTTAGTAGGTATAGGTAAGAACTTTCTCAATGAAACCCCAGCAGCACAGCAACTAAGAGATAGCATAGATAAATGGGACCTCATAAAACTAAAAAGCTTCTGTTCATCAAAAGAAATGGTCTCTAAACTGAAGAGAACACCCACAGAGTGGGAGAAAATATTTGCCAATTATACATCAGACAAAGGACTGATAACCAGAATATACAGGGAACTTAAAAAACTAAATTCTCCCAAAACTAATGAACCAATAAAGAAATGGGCATGTGAACTAAACAGAACTTTCTCAAAAGAAGAAATTCAAATGGCCAGAAAACACATGAAAAAATGCTCACCATCTCTAGCAATAAAGGAAATGCAAATTAAAACCACACTAAGATTCCACCTCACCCCTGTTAGAATAGCCATCATCAGCAACACCACCAACAACAGGTGTTGGCGAGGATGCGGGGAAAAAGGAACCCTCTTACACTGTTGGTGGGAATGTAGACTAGTACAACCACTCTGGAAAAAAATTTGGAGGCTACTTAAAAAGCTGGACATCGATCTACCATTTGATCCAGCAATACCACTCTTGGGGATATACCCAAAAGACTGTTACTCCAGAGGCACCTGCACATCCATGTTTATTGCGGCACTATTCACAATAGCCAAGTTATGGAAACAGCCAAGATGCCCCAGCACTGACGAATGGATTAAGAAAATGTGGTATCTATACACAATGGAATTTATGCAGCCATGAAGAAGAACGAAATGTTATCATTCGCTGGTAAATGGATGGAACTGGAGAACATCATTCTGAGTGAGGTTAGCCTGGCCCAAAAGACCAAAAATCGGATGTTCTCCCTCATATGTGGACATTAGATCAAGGGCAAACACAACAAGGGGATTGGACTATGAGCACATGATAAAAGCGAGAGCACACAAGGGAGGGGTGAGGATAGGTAAGACACCTAAAAAACTAGCTAGCATTTGTTGCCCTTAATGCAGAGAAACTAAAGCAGATACCTTAAAGCAACTGAGGCCAATAGGAAAAGGGGACCAGGAACTAGAGAAAAGGTTAGATCAAAAAGAATTAACCTAGAAGGTAACACCCACACACAGGAAATCAATGTGAGTCAATGCCCTGTATAGCTATCCTTATCTCAACCAGCAAAACCCCTTGTTCCTTCCTATAATTGCTTATACTCTCTCTACAACAAAATTAGAGATAAGGGCAAAATAGTTTCTGCTGGGTATTGGGGGGGGGGAGCGGGAGGGGGTGGAGTGGGTGGTAAGGGAGGGGGTGGGGGCAGGGGGGAGAAATGAACCAAGCCTTGTATGCACATATGAATAATAAAAGAAAAATGAAAAAAAAAAAAAAAGACTCCTGCTCTTTCTGAAGTTCTTTCCTTGAGGTTGCTTTCCCACAATGCCTGGGAGATCCTGGGGCCATACTTCCTTCAGTGCTTCTCTCTCTCAGAGATGATGATGGGAGGAAGGAGATTGTCTGGCTTGCTTTTAGGTCCTACTCCAAGCCCCAGGCCCTTGTAAATTCTCCTTCCCAGCAGCACTCTTGGATAGTGTTTAGCTCCATATGGAATCAGAATGCAGGAGGAGCACAGTGAGAGCAGGGGCCCAGAGGAGAGGGATTGTAGGCCAAGAGGCATTGCGAAGGGCATTTTATTCTGGTCAGCAGTGGAGTATTACAGAGATGAGGAAGCCAGCTCCTCTCTACCCACCAGCCTGGGTCTTGGGGTGATAGAGACAGAGGGAAGTGTCTGCCTGGGACAGGAGCTTCCAGGGGCTTAGCAATAGGAGGGATGGGAGAGGGACTGGAGACCTTAGCCTGGATGGGGAGATGAGCCCAGAGAAGGGGTCACCTGAGACTTGGGGAGCAAAGCTACCCTTGGCCCTTCCCTTCCCAACAGAGACCCTTAACTTTTCCCTTTCTGTGGGCAATTAGGGGGAATTAAAATGATGGGAAACATAATCTCATTTCTCTCAAAGAAAGTTGAGATTAAGAATGTCTCTGTCTGATGAGCAGTTTGGTGATGGGGGGGCTCCTTCCTCAGTTTCCCCATCCCACATTTACAGCTTCCTGCTCCCTGCTGAATGCTCCCTTTGGTCCAGCTCTAGTCATGTAAATCCTCCTTCAAGCTCAGCTGGTGTCCAATCAAGAGGAGGTGCAAAACGAGAAGGGAGGAAGGTAAGAGGAGAGAAGGAATTTGGGGATCACCCCTCCCTTCACATATTCCTCTCTGATTAAGGAGGATCCAAGGGCCACACTGCTCTGAGGTTCTCCAGATTAGGGTTTGTAGGGTTTTCCTTTCCAGGTCTGAGTCCATGGGACTCTGAGGAGAAGCCCTCCCTGGAATCCAGGCACCCCTTTGTCCCCACCATGGAGTCAGGCTTTACTTCCAGCCCCTCGGGTCTAAGTGACAGGAGCTGAAGCCTCTCTCCTCCTGCATCCTGTCCCAGCCCAGTCAGTAGGGGAAGCCCTGGAAAATGCTGCACCCCTGGGGGACACCCGGGTCCTGAGAGCAGGGTGCCTGGTTTGGAGGACCCCAAGAGCTGCTGCTCTGAGGAGAGAGGAGGCAAGAAAGCTTCTGAGAGACAGGTCCAGTTGGAGGTGAGAGGGGGTGGCAGAGCAGGAGCGAAGGAGGCAAAACTGGGCAGCTCGCCTTGGAGGCTCCCAAAATGGCAACAAGGGCCAAGCCAGCAGGGTCCTGGGGAAGAACCAAGTCCTAGAGGAAGAAAGAGAGAAAGGGTCAAGAAGATTCATCCCTCTGCCTTCTAAGTCTCCCTCTTCTGCCCTACCTCCCACCCCTCTCTGCTTTTCTTCAGGTTCACTACGAATGTTATGTCCTTGGGGAGGCTTCAGAGAGTCCCCACCTTATGTGGGAGCACTTGCTATCTGCTGTCCTCACTCCCTGTCCCTAACTTGCTCAGTTAGAATCATGTAGTCACTTGTGTGCTTATTTCTCTAATGTCCGTGTCCCTAATTTTGTGTGGGCAGGAACTGTATTGTTTTTATTCTCCCCTGAATCCAGGCCAGACTGGCACAGATTAAGTGCTCACTAAAGACATATTGGGGGAATAAATGAAGGATATTCTTTGCCATAGATCAATGAACCCATTCTTCACTCTTTGCACCCCTGCAGCAAAGGCTTAAAGTTCTAGATGGGCAAAGAACTGGTTGTATGGCCTTTGGCTTGTCACTTAAATTTACAGGCCTCTGTTTCCTCACTCAGGAAAGTTCCCTCTGCTGGCTAAGACCAAGTTGGCATCATCAGTAAGAAGGGGTTTGCAGAGTGGCTGTAAGCCCAGGGCCATGTGGGAGGAGTCCAGGCTTTTCTTCTCTCTGATGCTGGCTCATACCTCTCCTCCTTCTAGAAGGCTGCCCTTTTCCCAGGCCTTCCAAATTTACCCTCTTCCCCCTACAGGATCCTGCCACAGACTCAGCCTGGGGTCCCTGGAGATAACTACTCTGAACTCCACACTACTTTCTACCTTCAACAAGCTCAATTACAACTTCACCTTTTTCTTAGACAGACCACACGATTTAACTAAAAGAGCAAGTATCAACCCAGTGTGGTCACATGGGTGGAGCAATATATAGTAAATAAAAACTGGGGAAACAAATCATTTATTACTTAACACATCCAGTTTATTCCACAGGAACAATATCTCCCAAGTCAGATCTATGAAGAGAGGAAAAAGTCATAATGACCCTCCATGAGAAAACACGTGAGGACCTCTGCCAGAATGTACCCTTCCTGAGGGTCAGTGTTGTTCTTCTTGGGTCTTTAGATGAGGTGGGGACTATTGTTTCATGGGGAGATTGTGTCTTTAGGGCCCTGTGCTCAGGGCTGTGTGGCCACTCACAGCTGAGTAGACATGGAGGAGTTATTTTGGAGTCCTCCCATCTCTCCCACCCTTCCCAACCTGGACCTGCAGATTTCTGGCTCTGGCTCAGAAGGACTTTTGCTCCTCTGCCCAGAAGTAGCTTCCTGTCTTGGCACACATGCTTTGAGTGAGGGCAGAGGTGAGACTGGCAATGTTTTGGAATACCAATGTGAAGCAGGGCATGTGGTTGCTACCAATCCTCTGGTACCCTAAACCCTTTGTGTCCATCAGGGCCCGTGCATAGGCAAAATGTGTGTGTGCAGGAGGTGTGAAAGCACTCACTCCAAGTGAGGGCTCAAGAAGCAACAGCTTTTCTTCCCTCATAGTCTCCCAAAGGGGAAGCTCCATGCCTGTGGCACTCCCAGAGCTGGGAGATGTGGGTGGGTTGGAGGAACAGAGAGGCTGTTCAGGTGCTGTGTAGCTCCAGGCTGCCAGACTGGAGGCTCAGCAAGTCCAGTATGCCTCTGGCTGCCCCACACCCATGGCCTCAGCTGCACTCTTGGGGCACAGAGTTTGGGCCCCTAGCAATGTTGGGGGTGGGGTGAAATGAAAGGGCCCTTATTCTATGAGATTGGCAGGAGCAGAGGGATAGTTCTTTTACCTATGCACAAGAGCCCTGTGTTGGTTGAGTGTCTCTGTGATCTTTTCCACAGAAAATCTGATTTTGATGTTCTAAGAGCCAGCTGGCGTCTGCCTGCACTTCCACCCCCAGTGTGACACCACACTGGCCTTGTCCCAGTTCCTCTTTCTGTCCCCGGGCCTTTGCACATCCTGCTCTCTTTGCCATGCTCACCTAGCTCCCTCTGAGCTCAGCTGACACCTATGTGCATTTGGGAGTCAGAGGTCACTTTGTCCAAGAACACTTCCATGATGCTCTTGGCATCCTAAACTTTCCCCCATGGCAGTAACCCAGTCATAACTGCATATCTACTAGTAACTGAATGTCCACGTGCCCCCTTGCCTTTGAGCCCTGCAAAGGCAGCCCTGCTCACAACGGTGTCCCCAGCCCCTAGGACAGTGCCTGACACATTAAACAGAAGCTCGTTAAACATCTGATGAAAGAAGAAATGCATGAATGAGTGAACTTCTTCTTCTCCAGCTGAGCCTCCTTCTTCATCCAACAGCCCTTGTCTTGGTTCTAACCTCTCATCGTCTCCTACATAGATTATCTTCAAAAGTCTCCCACATAGGGCTGGTGGAGTGGCTTATGTGGTAAAGTGCCTGCCTAGTCCCTGAGTTCAAACCCCAGTGCTGGAAAAAAAAACCAAAAAAGCCTCCTACATAGTTGGGCATAATGGTTCACGCTTGTAATTCCAACTACTTGGAAGGTAGAGATTGGTAGGATCGTGGTTCAAGGACAGACCAGGCAAAAAGTTAGCAAGGCTCCATCTCAACACACAAGCTGGGCATGGTGGTGTGTGTCTGTAATCCCAGGTACAGGGGAGGTATAGGTAGGAGGATTGTGGTCTAAGGCTGGCCTCGGCAAAAAAATCATGAGACTATCTGAAAAATAACTAAAGCAAGGACTGGGGACATGGCTCAAGTGGTACAGTATCTGCCTAGCAGGTGCAGGACCCTGAGATTGAACCCTGGCACAAAGGAAAAAGAAAAGAGAGAGAGAGAGAGAAAGAAAGAAAAAGAAAAAACCTCCTACTGCTAGACCATTATAAAGTTGAAAAATTTGAAGTCAAGCCATCATAAGTCAGGGACCTACTGAAATGTTTATGAAGTGAAAATGTGATCACACCTCTTCCTCCTGGGTGCCCCCTACCCTTAACAATGGTTTCTGAGACTTCTGTGACAGGACACCTGTTGGCCTTCCAATCTTATCTCTTGCCCCTTCTGCTTATTCCCACCCCCAGCATATAACTCACTCTCTGACCACAGCAAGCTTCTAGCAATCTTCCAGTTTTGCTACAGTGGTCTTTCTCTCCCTTCCTCCTTTTCCTTCCGCTTCTTCCTTTCTTTTTTCCTTTCTCCTCTGCTCTCTCTTCCTTTCCTTTCCCTTCCCTTCTTTCTTTTTTCTTTCTGGCAGTACTGGGGTTTGAATTCAGGGCCTCCTGCTTGTTAGGCAGGTGCGCCCTCAGCCCTTTCTACTTTAGTTATTTTTCCAAATAGGGTCTCGAATTTATGCCTAGGCCCTTTGGACTGTGATCCTCTTATTTACACTTCCCTTGTAGCTCAGATGACAGGTTTACATCTGTCATCCAGCTTTTATTGGTTAAGATGGGGGGGTGGTCTCATGAACTTTTTGCCTGAGCTGTCCTAGAACTGAGATCCTCCTGATCTCTGCTTGCTGAGTAGCTGGGATTATAGGCATGAGCTGATTGCTACAGTGTTTTTACAAACACTGTTCTTTTGCCAGGGCATCTTTCCCCACTTTCTTCACCTCCTCCAGGAAGCCCTATATCTCCCTCTCTGCCCTCCCAACATCTGTGCTTACCTGAATCTCAGCCCTGGTCACTGGCAGTCTTCCCTCTCTGTGCCCTACTAGGCTCTGGGCTTCTTGAGGGCCATCTTTCATCTCTGAGCTCCCATGTCTAGTAAACAGCTGGTGCTCACTAGAGGTAGATTGAATGGCAATGAATGACTTGCATGTTATCCCTTGCCTTATGCTTGCTTGGCCATGTGCTCAACCAGGAGGGCCCTCCCCTCCTCTGGTTAGACTGTCGGTCTACCTCATCCTCAACACTCACGGTGGCTGCTGCTGCTGCTCCCCTTCTTCTCCCCAGGGCCCTCTGGTGGCCCCTGGGAAGTCCGCTGTCTAGCCAGCTGCTCTGCCATGGCCCATTGAGTGAACAGCAGGCGGTGCAGGAGCTGAGGAGTGAGGAGAAAGAAGGCAGACAAGCTTTCCCTGGCATCTGTGCCTCCAGTCCACACCTAGTTGTTAAAATGATGAAATGCTCTCATGCTGATTATTAGCAGCCATTGACTGCCACATGCCACCTGCCGTCCTGGATGCCCTGGATCTTCCCCCGAGGCCCCACTCCCTTCCCTCTAATCCATCACTAAGAGACGTGGATGGTGTAGAAGTCATCCTTTTTTGCGGGTGGGTTCTGTATCACCTGGACAGTTGAATATCTCTACTCCTGGGGAACTCAGGGACTAGGATGCAGGAGGAGCATGTTGGAGGCCAATGGGTTCCCAAGGTAGACAGAAGGACTGGGGGCCTCCTGGACAGAGGGGCAGTTCCTGGTGGAGCTCTGGGGACAGGGGTCACCTTCATGCCTACCTCACTCGGCACACCTATGGGCATCAGGGCTGGCCGACACAGAGCTGGGGCCCCCAGCAGCAGGTGTTGGGAGGGTTGTGTCCGCACTTCCCAACGAGGATAGTTGACCACAATGAACTTGCTGAAGTTGAACTTGTAAGTGAACCTTTTGCCTTTGGTTTTGTTCAGGATCCTCTTATTGTAGTAATACCTGGGGAATCGAGGTTGAGAATAGAGACTCAGCCCAGTCAGCAGGCTGGCCTGAGCTGTTCCTGGAGGACACTAGCCATCTTCCTACACTTGAGAACATTTCCCAAGCCTTGGAAGAATGGGAATCAGACAGGAGTGCCAGAAACCACAGCCCTTTTCTCTGAACTCTGCCCTTTCTAGCCACCTCCTCTCACCTGAGGGCCCGGCTCAGCTTGTCATAATTCATCTGTGGTTTGCATTTCCTGCGGCCCCAGAGGCGGGCCACCTCATCTGGATCCTTGATGACAAACTCCCCGTACTCTCCCTGCTGCCAGGCAATGACATGGCGGAATTCTTCCTTCTGCAGCAGCTCCAGGATGAAGTGCCACAGCTGGATCTGCCGGGAGCCCGGTGATGACTCAGCTTTGTAGGCCCAGTCGGGAAAGGCCAAACCTGAGGTGTAGAAGGGAGTATGAGGGTCACCCACTGCCCTGGATGGTCTGTCCTGAGGCAACTTCAAGAGCATGGGGGGAACTGGCAAGGAGGCTCACCTGAGATCCAGTAGTTGCCGGGGGTGGCTGGGATGCCCTCGGCCAAGCAGGTGCAGTACATAGTCTGTGCCAAGTGAGAGGACTGGGCCTTTGGCAAATTGTCACCACTGAAAGCAAGGGAAAGAAGGAAGGAGTGGAGAGAGCCAGGAAGAGAGAATTGTCCAGGGGAGAAAAGGGAAGGTGAAGCAGGAAGCTTCTCCATACCTAGGGCAGGGCCCAGACTCCTCAGGAAACTCCTCACTGTTCAGAAGTGCTCCAGGACTGGGGTTTGGGCCTAAGTCACTTACAGAGAGGGAAAGGAATGCAAAGGGTCCTCCATCCTGCCCCCGCTTGGGGATTTAGACAGAGAGTGTGATCTCTCCTTAGGATTTAGAGGGATTGAAAATTACCCCAAGAGGAAAGAAGAGAAAATGTAATTAATCCTTGACTATTTCTAAACCTTGAGTGGGGAGGAGGTGGTATGTGCACCTACTTGTACTTTTATAGTATCTAGAACAATTTCACACGTGAGAAGAGCAGGGACTTTTGTGTGTTGTTTTCACTGAGTCCCAAATCCCTGCACAGAGTAGTTGTTCAATAGATGATTGCTAATAGAATAAAGGAACGGTAATGAGCTTATTAATGACATCATTGTTTGACATCTGTGCTCCCCCTCAGAATGTCAGCTCCAAGAGGTCAGGAATCCTGGCTGTCTTGCTCACTGATGGCACCTGGTTCCCATCCTGGCACCAGGCCTTGTATTCACAGGTGCTCTGTAAACGCTTGTTGAATTAATGAACTGAGGACAAGGAAGAGGGGATCTTGCTGGTTCTCGGCTGGAAAGGGTAGGAACAAACTCCAGAGAGACAGACTTGACTGATGGAGGCTAAGAGGAGAGAGAAAAATGTCGAAGAAAAGCCTCCTGGGTGGTACAGAAGACACTGGAGCAAACGGCTGGTTTCCACTGTCACTAATGGAAAGTGAAGCGATGGACTGTGGAGAGATAGGGTGTGGGCCTGATGGTGGATCAGGCAGGGAGATTCTTGGGTGTTTAGAACTGAGTGAAGACTTACCTGTCCTGGGCATGGAACTAGTTTCCTCTCTGAGCAACCTAGTGTGAAGGAAGCCCCATTCTTAACTAGAACTTAGTAGGCTCTCAGATCTGGAGGACATGTGATGATTGCTGTGGAACAACCTCCTCCCATTTTAGAGGAGACTCAGAGAGGGAAAGTGACAACCAAAGACACAAGATGAATTAGCTGCTATACTTACTTAGCATTTTCTTATACACTGAATTGCCTTAAGACTTATAAAAAAATGTGGCTATACTTCTCAACTTTTATGTGTGTAAGAATCATTCAGCAGATTCAGATTCAGTTGGAATTGGTAACCCTGAGATTCTGCATATCTAACAGACTCTTAGGTGATGCTGCTGCTGGTGGTCAGTGGACCATACTTTGAGTAGCAAGAACCCCTGGGCTACAGCAAAAAGACGCTGTGGGTGTTAGAAAGTCAGAGAATTCCAGACACCTCAGTGTGTGAGACTCCCCCCTGACTTGCTACTCTTAGCACTAAAAGGTCACATGATCTCTTGTTGCGTGTCAGGGGTGTCAGCTGACAACTGACAGGTCGTGGCATCAGGAGTTTCTGGAGGTACCTGTCCTGCCGGAGCTGTCTCTAGAAATTAAGACAAATAGGGCAGTGAATAGATCCATGCCTGCTTGGAGTTTTTAAACTACCAACTGACATTCTAGAATCCTCTCTTTTTAGTCTCCCCTGAAGCAGATGTCCCTAACTCCTTTCCCACACTCTTTTCCTGGCCATCCATCCATCAGGACATTCCTCCTTCTCTAACCTAAGTCATTTTGGGAGCACTCTGCCTTAACTTGGGAATATGGGCTGGGAAATGGGGTGTGCACAAAGGTGAGGGGTTCTCAGAGAAGACTGTTCTTTAAAGGAAGCTGATAGCATTCCTATGCCTTGCCCTGGTGTCTGTTGGGTGTGATGGAGTTTCCTGGTCTGGAGGATCTGAGACCTCAGGGCAGATTTGGGTTCTGGCAAGAAGAGAATGAGAAATCTCACCACTTAGCAGACAAACACTGTGTTCTGAAAGGTGCTAAGAAATTGAAACTGAAATATAATGAAACCTCACACCAGGTAGCGGTTCAGAGGTTGTTTAACTTCCCTAAGTTCATCCAGTAAGTGAAAGTATGGAAAGCGAGATCTCTAGGTAGGCTCCCAACACCTTGTCTCCAACCCTCCCTCAAAGAAAAACAAAACAAAACAAAATAAAAACCCTAATACAAACTAAAGTGGCTTTAATAGGTGAGGCCAAGTCTTTGTTTCCTGATGCCAGCAGCCTCCTCCCCAGCCTCTCCCATTTGTAAAAGTCGCTTGTGGATCCTAGGCTCTTGAGAAGCATGCTAGGTCTGGACATGGAAAGCCTTACTGCTGGGAAGTCCTGCCAGAGGTTCTGCAAATCTTTCTTTTCCTGTTGGAGACCCTGAGCTGACTGTGGGGGGCCCTCAGAGAATATGGTAGCTTTCAGTTCTACCTCCATATAAAAGCACTGGTCTTGGCACTTAACCTTAATTCCTTGTGTATCACTTTAATCCACACTCTGGTGGAGATACTCCCAAAACCAGGGAGGTGGTCCCATTCTATCTGCATCTCCCTGTCCTCTAGGCCCCTACTCCTTCCCTTTTGTGCCATTGTCTGAGCCTGCAAGGTTCTAACTACTGGCTCTGCATAGCACCTTCACCCCTGTAGTCCCTATAGCAGGGTTAGTGCAGTGGCCTTAACGGAAGACAAATATTGAGAACCATAAATCAAAAAGTATCATAATCCAATCTTGAATGATCAGTGAGATTTCTCTAAAGCACTATGTGTTTCTGGAAGGGTTATAGCAGCAGGCAATTATCATTGTCATCATCACCATCGTTCTGATTACTTATAATAAGGTTAATCCCTTGGCCAATATACGTGTTCATTACAACACATGTAGGATTTAGGTCATTATTTAATATAAGCAATATAGATAACAATGAAAACAATAGAAAAGAAGTCTTAGGCTAGGTCTTGGAGCCAAAGAAAATAACCAAAGCAGATTTTACTTTTTCAAGATTTTAGTTTATATGAATTGTGCCTCTGTCATGCATCTAGCATTGGGTGACATTTTTTTTTTCATGTTACTTCATTGATTCTTCACTGTAACCCTTCGAGGTGCATATTAGCTACCTTTTGCAAGCCAAGGAAATTGAGGCTCAAAAAGATTAAGAAAGAGACTTGCATAAGATCCCGGCCAAGTTGTGGAGCCAGATGAAAACAGGTCTGTCAGACTCTAGGCTTTCAGCTGTAATCAGCAATCAGGGCAGAAAAGTTGAGGATGAAACTTTCGGAGCAGAGAGGCAAGGCTGGCAGGAGGCCCTGGGCCCTGAAGGAGGCACTCCAGTCTAAACCAACTGTGTGGGCTCTTTGCCAGAAAAAATTGCAGCAGAGGCCCCAAGAAGCCAGAGGAGAGCCACCCAGATGGGCAGAGAGCAAAACAGGGTGAGAAACACACACACACACACACATACACACACACATGCCCCAGGCTGTATGTATGCAAAGGAGAAACTTGAAAGTTATTTTGTTGTTGGGGTCTTAAGTGGCTGAAGTGTACTGACAGCACAAATTGATTGGACAAAAACTCAAGTATTTTCAGCGCCTGCTCTGTTGATTCAGTGGGAAAATGCAATTGTTTATAAATACAAAGGTGGCCGAAGAGGCAGGCCATGAGAGTCGTGGAGGAGAGTGAATCAGAGAATGAGACAGAAGTAGAGAGGCAGAAATCTGAGTCCTGGCACAACTGAGGTCCAGAGTCTGGCCCAGGGGTTTGAAAGATTAGAGTGGGTGACAGTGGAGAGAGACATCCCCCGAGAGACATACTGATGGTGGCCTCCAGGGGATATTTTATGCTTGTTAGCTTTAAACAAACTCCGCAACCCCCTCCCCTCCACCAAATCCCCAATCTGATTAGAAGCCTCTGGTCTCTCCCCTTGATCTCAGCCCCAAGTGGTTAGTCCTGAGACCTGCTTAATGCTATTAACTAAAGCTGCTTAGGTAAGAGAGCAAGAGGGCTGAAGCCTGGGAAGGGCAAAACCAGCCACCTTTTTCCTTGGGGAGTTTGAAGGAGGGACATAGATAAATGCCCTTCCTTTGCCTGCCCTTAGTCTCCTTTTCCTTCCCCCAAAGGAGGGACAGGCTGGCAGAGACCCCAAGGGCATCTGTGTCTCTGCCTTAGGGCAGAGAAGACCCCTTCGGGATGCTTCCTCCAGCAGCATCAACTCCTCCTTCCTGGGCAGATCCTGGGAGAGGCTCCCCATGGGATCCAGCAGCAGTCCTTCTTCTCTTCTCCCTTCCCAGCCTGAGCCCCTCTCCAGGCTCCCTCTCAGTCCCCTCACCAGGTCTCAGATCTCTGCCCAGCCCCTCCTGCCAGCCCAAGATCCATGCCCCACCCCCCACCAACACTCTGATGTCTGTAGTCCCTGGGGGCCATGGGATTTAAAAGGTTTGCATAGCTTCGTGGAGCAGAAATCCAAACCCAGACACCCCATGGCCCATCCTAGACTGATCACCATGGGCAGTTGAAGGTCAGGAGGAAAAATCACACCCTTGCACACACTCTCAGGGGCCCAGGGGCTAAGAGGATAGGACATGGGGTGTCCTGCATGGGCTTCCAGCTCCTTCCCTCCATCTGACCCCTGCAGGTCTGTTTCACTCTGACTTTTCTGTCTTTCTTCAGCTTGGTTGATCCTTCACTACCATTCGTTCTTCCCTTTCACACGAATCCTTCTTTCCTTTCTCTTCCCACCTGTCAGCCTTTTCTGAGTCTTTCTTTCTTGCCACCATTCATTTTGCTGCATGTTTTCTCACTTTTCTCTCTCCCCTGTTGTCATTCTTTTTCTCTTTCAGTCGTCTACTCTGCCTGGTCTTCCCTGGCATGTCTGTTTCCCTCCTCTGAGTGTGGGGTCTGTCTTACCACTTCTTGCCTAGCCTTGTTAAATTGTTTCTGTCACGGCCTCTCATTGTTGCTTTCTG